ATTAGTGTTAATCTTGCATGTGAACAGTAACTGGAGGGGATAAACGCATCACAACGTTTTTAAAAAATCAGATGAATTCTTGTAAAATTCCCCTTCATTTCCGGTCTGAAAATATTCTCGCAAGGTCAAATTTCAACATGGCTATAACTACTATAAAACAGAAAGTTGAAACGTTCTGAAAGAAGCTCGATTAATATTGACCAAAGTCTAGGTCATATGCAAAATATGAGCTAAATCTATTTTCCCTTCCCCCAACCAGTGGGTGGATTTTACTGAGAAGGCCCTCTTAATTTCTTGTCACATCTTCAGTTGATACATGTATTTTAATTTAGTTGCACAGTATTTGGTGATGTCCTTTTGAACAACATGATTTTGTGGGTGTCTGTAAAAGCCGGAACCCCACCCGGAACACCCGGAACCCACCCGGAACACCCGGAACCCTACCCGGAACACTTGGAACCCCTCCCGGAACACCCGGAACCTACCCGAAACACCCGGAACCCCATCCGGAACACCCGGAACCCCCACCCGGAACACGCTGGAATACGAGCTATGAAGCAACGCACGTGTTTCTCTATAAATTCACGTGTTTCGCATTAAATTCGGGGTGATGGATGGCTACGATCTTTACTTTTTACTTGTATTGTTGTTTTTTTAAATAATTTTTCTCATGCATGGGCAAGGATAAAATATATTATGTCGGGCGGTATATAATATCAAATGCACGAGTTTTGCTTGTTTGTAAACGTGCAAACGAAGTTTCGCTCGAAGCGTTTGCCGCATTTTTTTATTGCCGCATCTATATTTTTCGTTTTCAATATTCTGCCGTACAATATGTTTGCATATGGTTACTTTGACTTGCAATTGTATGAAACGGCGCCATGTAGGAATTTAGAGGAATTATAAAGTTCATCCGTATTTATTACAATACGAATTCTCGTGGATTTGGGAAATTTTTCATGGATTTCTTTACTAGACTTACTCGCTTTTTTGGAACTTTGAAAGACGTTTTAGTAGCTAATTTGAAGGCTGTTTTGTATATGACAATGACTGCAGCCTAGAGTAAAACTAAAAGTGCACGCGCGAGATCTCAGAATAACAGTATTATTTTAAAGTAAGCCCCATTGATGAGTGTGTACGTTCTTGGGGCAAACTTATTCTCATCAGAAACTAATATATTTAAATAACATATTTCTCATTTAATCAATTAAATAAAGTAGCTAATATATTATATGTATTGCTAGAAATTCCCAAAACATTCATTTGTCATTGAAAACGTTAACAACCAACAAGCAGGAGATGTCATATAAATATAGAGCACGAGGCAAAACGTCCATGTTCCTTCGATCAACGGCAGTAAATAAATATTGTATTTAATATATTAAATTAAGGACTGTGTTACTGTTGAAGTTATAACATGAACGTTTTGCCTAGTGGCTACTAGTGCTTTATATATACGACACCAGCGTGTTGATTTGGTTGTCAACGTTTTCAATGACAAATTAATGTTTTGGGAATTTCTAGCAATACATATAATTTATTACTATTAGCTACTTAATAATAGTTATTGTAAGGTTTCGCGCGTGCACTTTTGCTGTAGCTAGCCTGCAGTCATTGTTATATACAAAACAGCCTGTAAATTACTAAAACGTCTTTCAAAGTTCCAAAAAGCGAGTAAGTCTAGTAAAGAAATCCATGAGAATTCGTATTGTAATAAATACGGATGAACTTTATAATTCCTCTAAATTCTTACATGGCGCCGTTTCATACAATTGCAAGTCAAATAACCATATGCAAACATATTATTCAAATAATAAAAAAGATAGCAAAGTTAAATATTGGTTATTGTTCAACTAAATTTAGAATAGAGCCACAGGTACATAGTACGGCAGAATATTGAAAACGAAAAATATAGTACATGCGGCAAAAGCCTCAAGCGAAACTTCGTTTGCACGTTTACAAACAAGCAAAACTCATGCATTTGATATTATGTACCGCCCGACTTAATATATTTATCCTTTAAAAAAACAACAATACAAGTAAAAAGTAAAGATCGTAACCATCCATCACCCCGAATTTAATGCGAAACACGTGAATTTATAGAGAAACACGTGCGTTGCTTCATAGCTCGTATTCCAGCGTGTTCCGGGTGGGGTTCCAGGTGTTCTGGGTGGGGTTCCGGGTGTTCCGGATGGGGTTCCGGGTAGGGTTCCGGGAGGGGTTCCAGGTGTTCCGGGTAGGGTTCCGGGTAGGGTTCCGGCTTTTACAGACACCCCTTGATACAGTAGTGCAAGTAGTATAAAGTCCCTGAGACTGTTATACACTTCTAAATACAGAGATAGAGTATAGTGGTATAATAAGTAGTGTAGAATTGATCTTAGTCCGTGTATGACGGAAACGTGCGTATAGTCGCTGGTCATGCAGTCCATATGTTCGAACTATAACTATTTTCGGAAATATTTTTTATGAAATACTACAATAATATATTGTTTTACACATATATATATATATATATATTTACACATAAAGT